TCCCTCTAGGTCCTCAGTGCAGTCCTTTGATGGAATCCAAACTTCATAGAACAAATCCTCTTAATAAAAGGATTTGTTCTATAAAACTTGAACTCAGTCAAAAGGCTGCACCCAAGGACATATAAGGCCACATGTGGCCTTGAGGCTGAAGGTTCCCCATCCTTGAGCCATCTAAAATATTGGATACCTGCAAATGTCTCAACTTTTGATAATTCTTTTCACCCCCTCTTCCTTTTATTTTACTTTGAACTTAACAAACACCAAGTAAAACAACATTTCCATCTGTTTTTTATTTAGTATTTTATTTTTCCTGTTACATGTAAAACCAAATTTTAACATTCATTTTAAAACTTTGAGTTCCCATTTCCACATTTAAATAGGAGAACAGAAGAGGATTGTACCTGAAACTTTGAATTTCTGTGATGTAGCGCTTGGTTTTCCTTTTGAATATGTAATGAATTTTTATTGTTGTTTTATGTATCATTGGTCATTTATTATGCTTTCTTGTTTAGAGCTAATATAAATGTAGGCATCATCCATTACATAGGTCTCAAAGAGCTAGAGAATAGTTACCAAAATCTATTATCTTTTGATTTCTTTGCCAGTAGGTTCAGTATCATAGGTTATGTGTGAATACCCAAAGCTTGAGCTTTGCTGACCATCATCACATGTTCTAAAAAATGGACTAAGAAGAATGAGGCCAAAAGGAAAGTAAAATCATGGGGTTAGGAGTACTTACTGTCCCAGATGCTGTTGATTGGAATGAACTGAAGCTGTGCTCTTCAATCAATCAACTAACAAGCATTTATTAAACACTATGTTCCAAGCACTTTGCTATGCACTAAAGATAGAAGTTTAAAAAAAAAAAAGAATCCCTTATTGCAAGGAATTAATAATTTTTACCCATCACTCCTAGTTTTACCCTCTGAGGCCCAATAAAACAAATTTAATCCTTTTTTTTTTCATGTGACAGCCCTTCAAATACTCGAAGACAATATATGTCACTCCCCTCGGTCTTCTCTTCACTGAGTTAAACATCCCTCGTTCCTTCAAATTATCCCTGTATGCCATGGGTCTACAGTCTTTTTACCATCCTACTTATCAACCTTGGCATCCATTCCTGGTTTACCAATGACTTTCCTAAAATATGGTGCTTAGAACCAAACACAGTACTCTAGATGTGGCCTAACTGGGGCAAGGTACACCATCTCCCTCATTCTGAACATTGTGCCTTTCATAATACAGACCAAGATTGCATTGGGTTTTTTTTTGGCTGCCATGTCACAATCTTGACTCATAATGAGCTTGTAAACCACTAAAACTCCCACATCTTTTACACAGGGAACCCAAACTGAGTACTGGATGAAGGAAAGGCATTGAATGTAACCTGTCAGTAAGACTTTTAATTTTATCTCAAGAGTCTCTCTTTCATTTATGAGCTAGGAAAATATCAACCCACATTCTATTCTTTGGTGGGTGAACAAGTGACTTGAGATAAGGATCAAATAAAAATAAATTAATATTTAACTGACTATGAATCAGCCGTGTGGGGTCATTGTGTAAGAGCCTCATGTGATACTGGGATGTATTGAAACAGAATATGAGGTATATTATTCAGACTCTCTAATTAGAGTAGTGAGTCTACTTTTGGCACTTCCAAAAAGATGAGAAGAACCAGAGTCCCATCAAATGAGACAAGGACAACAATGGGGGTGGAAAACAGATTCTTTGAAGAAAAACTATTTATCCTAGAAGAGAGAAAGCTTAGGGTGATTTGATTACTGGTCTCAAGTAAGCAAAAGTTTTCATGAGAGGGCCACTGAACAGATGTCCCTAGCCATGAAATTAGCTTAAAATTAAAGACTGGCAGATTTTGGTTAGATATGAGGAAGGTTTTTTTTCCCATCAAGATGAAACAGAGAGGCCTCTATCCCTGAAGAATTTCAAGAAAAGAATAAGCAACGCTGTCTCCTACCTGGTTTGAACATTCACCTGCTTGAGGGCAGAAGGCTGGACCAAATGCTCTTTCAAGGACAATTCCTACTCTTTGTTTTAACATTGTGAAACAGGGCACAGATTTCAAGCTCCTAATGATTCTTCAGGTAGGAAATAAGTGAGAAAGTATATGGTAGTCTTTGTTCACTCTTAGTTGCACAGGGACAAAAAATCTGGGCATATGTCATCACATACTTTAGCCAGTTTATTATTATTTTTAGTTTCTTAAAACTGTTAGCTCATTGGCTCAATAAGCATGCCCATAAAAGTTGCTTATCATTTTGATTCTGGCATATATATATATACACATATATATACACACACACACACATATGTGTATATATATACATACACATATGTATATATACACACAAAAAAATATATATGTATATGAAACTTATATTGAGACCTTGGTATGTATCTTATTCAAATGTTTTTCCTACAATACCATAATTTCCTCAAGCACAATCCATGTGCATGAATTAAAGAAGTAGCTGGATGTCATTGGTAGAAAGGGTGAGAGTCTTTGGCATCAATGTGGAAGGTGTGAAACAACTTTTTTATGGCCATCAGCTCTCTAAACTCAATACATCTTCCTAGGAGGACATTTAAAGTCTCAATTATGATATTTCCAATTATGTATTCTATCCATGGGGATGCAGAATAAAATTTGGATGCTTTGCCATGTAAGTGCTTAATGTAGCCTTACTTTATCCCTCACTGTCAGAGTTACTGAGGATCTGTGATCTGGCCAAACCTATTTTTGTTAATCCTTGCTGAGACCTATATAACACTAAATACTACTCATGAGCACATGTAGGGTACATTTTTCCTCATACTTTCTTTTACTCCATACCCTATCCCAGTTAGTTGCTGGTCATATTCAGTTGTCATTTTATATCCTTACAAATTTCTTTGCAAAAAAATGGAAGTTTACCTAGTTTACCTAATTACACTTAGCATATTGAGGATTTATAGAAGAACATGGGCAGAAGTCATACAGAATGAGAAAGCATGGATAAATTGTGATCTACATAGGCAGAAGGAGTCTCCATATCGATCAAAACCTCAAGGTAGTGAGTTATCAGCTCCAGCTTTATCTGTTGAGTTTGGTTCATCTATTTATTTAGTGATATTTAAATATTCAACAAATACTTATTATAGTCTTTATACAAAATTTAACTAAGACACTGTCCTTGCCCTTACAAAGTTTAATTTCAAAAAACCCAGTTCTAGTCCTATCCCTTCTCATTAAAAACAAGCAAATTTTTTATGCTTTTCTTTCTTTCTCATATGACTCATTTCCCAAAGAACTTCCCTCTAACCCCCCTAGGATCCTTCCTTATTACAAAGAAATATAGTTTAGTTAAGCAATACCAAAACAATACATTGTCCCTGCCTAATATATGCAGGGGTATGCGGGAGCCAGCTCGTAGAGAAACTTGTTAAATTTTCAGTGTAAACAAGTACACGTTGGAAATTAGCAAATGCTACAAATCAGGGCTTGATTTCTTGTTTTGTTAATTGTCTAGATTTGAGAAAGTATGGAGAAATTTTTAATAATGATGATTAAACTTTGAAGTGTATCATAATATATTCCTAAGAGCCAGTTGTTAAAATATTTACCAGCATATTCCTTGTAAACATATGCCATACTCTATCTACCCCTAGAGTCTATGATCTTTCTTGAGAAGAGGGAGGTGCATTTTACTGTTAGTTGGGGGAAGTCAAGATTGGTCACTTGCAGGGACCAGAGTACTCCTGTCTTTCAGTGTTCTTTTCCTTTTCATTATTGTGGTCACTGTGTGAATTTTTCTCTAGGATCTGCTTAATTTGCTGTGCATCAGTACATGTACTTCTTTCTGAGTTTCTCTGAGTTCTTCATAGGTATAATTTCTCTCACCCTAATAATCTATTCATTCATATGCCACCATTTGTTGAGCGATTCACCATTCTTTGCTTCCATTTTGTTGCTACCACAAAAAGTGTTGGTACAATTTTTAAAAAAAAATATGGAACCTTTCACTCTCTCTGTGACCTCATTGGAGTATAAGCCCAGTAGAAGTATCTCTGGGTCAAAAAAAATATATATATATACATACATATATATATATGTATATATATAATTCAGTAACTTTCCTACTATAGTATCAAATTTCAAAATGGTATCTCAGCCCATTTCTTTTTTGGGGGGGGGCTAGGCAATGGGGTTAAGTGACTTGCCCAGGGTCACACGGCTAGTAAGCATCAAGAGTCTAAGGCTATATTTGAACTCAGGTCCTCCTGACTTCAGGGCCAGTGCTCTATCCGCTGCACCACCCAGCTGCCCTCAGCCCATTTCAATGAATTATTACTACTAATGTTTCTACCTCTTCAGGCATAATAACTCACATTTGTATAACAACTTATTTGCAAAATACATTCCTCATAAGAGTCCAGGGAGGTAGGAAGTCTAAGTATTATTATGCCCAAATGAGAGAACTAAGCCTAAGAGATGTTAAATGACTTTAATAAGGTCACCCTAAATTAATGTCCAGACTTCAAGCGCACAGCCTACTGCCTCTAGGGAGACTGGTACACAGGGGGTCCCAAAAGTTTTTGAGGCAGCTAGGTGACCCTGTGGATAGAGTGCTGAGCCTGGAGTCAGGAAGACCTGAGTTCAAATCCAGCCTCAGATACTTACTAGCTGACCCTGGACAAATCACTTAATCTCTGTGTGCCTCAGCTGTAAAATGGTGATAATAGCACCTATCTCTTAGGGTTGTTGTGGAAATCAAATGAGATAATATATGTAAGGTACTTACTGCAGTACCTGACACATAGTATGTGCTTATTAAATGCTTTCCTTTTCTTAGAGAAGTTTTAAGCTTAATAACTATTAAAGTTTAAAACTGCACTAGGGTTTTTGGTCTTAGTAGCTATTAAGTAACTTAATCTCTTATTAAAGCTTTTTGATTGATTTTATTTTTTTATCTGAATTATTTTCATTTTATTTTTATTTTCAGTTCCACATTCTCTCCCTCCTTCCACTCCCTCCCCACCCATTGAGAAGGTAAGAAATATGATGCCCACTATACATACACAGTCATGCAAAACATTTCTGCTTTAACAACTGTTAAAGCTTAAAAGGACAGTAGGACTTTTGGGACATGCTGTATTCTCCCAAATTCACAAATGATAACGACTTGGCCAGAGGCATCTAAAAGGTTAGCCACAGTCCTTAAATTTCTAGTCTGTTGCATAGCTAGTGAGTGTCTAATGGTAAGTCATCCTGCATATACACCCATAAATAGCTTGTACAGTGTGGGTAATTTCCTTCAAAATCTTGTCTGAGAACTTTAAATTTAGCTCTTCTGGGCTTGTATGTTTACATTGATAAACTTAGCTCCCTTTCACAAAGCTATTCTCACTTGTTGTATTTAACAGGCTGGGCCTGCACAGAACGTGTTAGTCATCAGAAAAACATTGAATTGGAGCCGATTCATTATTGAGTCAGTGAAAAAAATGCATACTATTTCCCCACATCTTAGTATCTCTAGTAAAAAATGGAAAAAGGACTTTATTTGGCCGTTAAAAAAAAAAAAGACTCATAACGCACATCACCGAAAATGTGATAGACTTCATCGTCATGTTTCCTTTTTCACAGCAGGCAGAAGACTGAGCCTTGAAACTATGTATTTGAGAGACTGTCACGACACCTCGAATACCTTGTGCTGGTGCTGTCACCGAAAAGTGTGGCTACGTTCTGAGGAGAACTGCTTCCATGACGGGAAGGAGCAGTCTCAGGACTGAGATGAGTATAAAGCCAGAAGGGACACACCATGCATAGATACACGACAATCAAGCAGCTTGGTGATGGGACCTATGGCTCTGTCCTCCTAGGAAGAAGTATTGAGTCTGGAGAGCTGATTGCCATAAAAAAGTAAGTTTTACACCTTCCCTCCTGATGCCAAGGACTCTCACCCTCCCCACTCATGCCAGCTCCTACCCTGATTCATGCAGAGTGGACTTTCTGCGGTTCTGCCTGAGGAGATTATGGCGGAAAGAGCGCTTGAAGTTGGAATCAGTTCTAGGTTTGAATCTCGGTTCTCCCCTTTAGTGGCTGTGTGACTTGGGACAAGTCACTGTCTTCCCCATTCTGGGTCTCCATTTCTTCATCCGTAAAATGATGGGGGTTCAACAGATTTTTTTCCATGTTCTTCCCAGCTCTAAATCTTATGATCCCCAACTGCTCATGCCAAAAAACTTTTTTTTTTTTTTTGGCGGCTAGGTAATGGGGTTAAGTGACTTGTCCAGGGTCATACAGCTAGTAAGTGTCAAGTGTTTGAGGTCACATTTGAACTCAGGTCCTCCTGACTTCAGGGCCAGTGCTCTATCCACTGTGCCACCTAGCTGCCCCCCAAACAACTTTTAATCCTATACCTCTTTGTCTCCCATCTTTGACATTAATCAATCATTCAGTGATCAACAAACATTTATTAAGCATTTACAGTGTTCCAGGAACTGTGTAAAGGGCTAGGGATGCAAAGAAAGGGAAAAACAAAACCCCTGCCCTCAAGGTACTCACATGCTAATGGAGGAGATACCATGCAAACAATTATATACATACAGGATATATCTACAGTGTAAATAGAAGGTATCTCCTAGACCCCAGAAACAGAATCATAGAATGTCAGAGAAGGAAGGTCTTATATTTAGAGCTGGAAGGGAATCTCAGAAACCATATATTCCTACCCTCTTATTTTAAAGGCACATGGAGGTTAAGTGACTTGCTCAAAGCCACATAAGTAAGTAGGCATCAGAGGTGGATCTGAACTCAGGTCCACTCCAGCCTGAGTTTATCTCATTTTACAGATAATGGAACTGAGGCATATGGAGGTTAAGTGACTTGTTCAAAGTCACGTAGGTAAGTAGGCATCAGAGGTGGATCTGAACTCAGGTCCACTCTAGCCTAAGTTTATTTCATTTTACAGATAATGGAACTGAGGCATATGGAGGTTAAGTGACTTGTTCAAAGTCACATAGGTAAATAGGCAACAGAGGTGGATCTGAACTCAGAGCCACTCCAGCCTGAGTTTAGCTCCTGGTAACAGAGTCTCTTGAGTTAGAGTTGTAGGATTGTAATTTGTTACAGAGGATTGAAGAAGACTTGGTTCACTCCCGGCTTTCACAGGCCCTACTGAAGTAAGTAGCCATTCTCCCTCCCCTCCATAAGTGACTCGACATACTAGGAATTCTGGTGGCTGGTCTAAAATGAGAGCCAGCTGCTATTTTGGAGTAGACTTCAAACTTCTTCACTCCATAGACTGACCACAAAAGACTTTGAGGCTCCTCAGGGAAGAAATGACACTGGAACTTTGTTCCACTGGGGGTGGCATGAGTCGTGGTTCCTGAAGTGGGCTCTTTGTAACTATTTCTGGAGCACCATTGTAAAGAAAACCTTATAACAGGCCTGAGGTCCACCAACTACACCCCTATGTACTTGCCCTCAGAAGAAGGAAAAACAGTCATTTAGATACTGGGGGTAAGGAGAATGCTGATGGTGAATACAGGAAAAGAGAGAGGGAAGGAAGGAAGTTAATGTTTATCTCTGTGGTCCCCACCCTAGGGACATTGCCCTTGGCTTCAATCTCCTCTCAGTTTCATGACTTTCTTCATTTCATGTCTTAAGAGGAGAATAATCCTTGAACTCTCAGGAACCTCTTGAGGTCAGGGAACTTTGTCTTATTCATTTTTTGTAAACCCCTCGTTGCTTAGGGTGGTATCTTGAACACAGGAGGAGCCTTATCTCATGGAAAATACAAAATTAGATTTTTAAATCTTCACACGTTGATGTCAGCATTACAGAATTATGTTATCTGCCTGAGTGGTGGTAGAACTGTCTCTTTGTTACACTGTCTAATTATGGTTTATGGGGGAAAAATATCTTAAATTCACCTTTGAAATGAAGCCTAGCTGTATGATCACTTAATCTCTGTCTGCCTCAGTTTCCTTATGTGTAAAGTGGGGGAAATAATACTACTTACCTCCTAAGGTTGTTGTGAGAATAAAATAAGATACTTGTAAAGTGTTTTGCAAACATTAAAGCACCATTTAAATGATAGCTATTATTATTATTAAGTACATATCTCCACTCCTTAGTCCTTAGTCTTACTGAATACAAGGCTGAACCCTTGGGTTGGAGGAAGGAGAAGAAAAATAAAGAGATGTAAAACTGAGGGAGATAATGATGGTCCTTTAATTTTTAGAGTGCACTCAACATAGTGGAAATTTTTCTAGTCTCTTATGATTTAACATATATGATTTTTGTTATCAATCTATATTAAAATATCATCCCCAATTAAAGTTGGAACCCTGATCACTGTCCCAGATGACTTACATCAAAAACATGGCTGACTTGATCCTATAGGATGGAAAACAGAAAATTCAATTTTTAAATGCAGTGGCTTGGATACTAGGTTTGCCATCAGGAACACTTGGATTGAAGTGTTGTATTTAATTGTATGGCCTTGGGCAAATCCCCTGGGCTTCAGTTTCCTCATCAGCAAAGTGAGGGAATTGAAGTTTATGGCTTATAAAGTCCAGCTCTATATTTGTAATCTTACAATCCCATGAATTTTTTCAGCTTCTTTTTTTTTTTTTATCTGTATAATGGAAAAAAGAATGCCTATGGTATATCTCCTGTGGGGCTAGTGTAAGGAACAAGATCTTTGGGAACCTAAAAGGGCTATGGAAATATCAATTATTATTATTATTAATATCGTTTATCATCCTCATAGGATCAAGAATATAGAGTTGAAAGTCACCTCAGAGACCATCTTATCCAATCCCCTCATTTTACAGATGAGATGTTGAGGCCCAAGGAGAGGATAAGTGACTAGACCAAGGTCACACGGGAGGTTGTTGTTGTTGCTGAGTCGTTTCAGTCCTGCCTGACTTTCAGTGTCCCCATTTGGGGTTTTCTTGTCAAAGATACTGAAGTGGTTTGCCATTTCCTTCTCTAGCTCATTTTACAGATGAGGAAACTGAGGCAAACAGGGTTGAGTGACTTGCCCAAGGTCACCTAGCTAGTAAGCATCTGAGGCCAGATATGAACTCTGAAAGAGTCTTCCTGACTTCAGGTCTGGTTCTATTATCCACTTAGTTGCCACAAGTAGATTATTTACTGGGTGCATACACACACACACACACACTTACTGGGTAGATTACTTTTATTGAATTCAGTGACAGTGAACACCCTGAAGTAGTTCACTTTTTTTGTATCCTCCACTGTGTCTATCACTATTCTTTGTAAAGAGAAGGGTGTTTGACAAATATTTGTTTATTTCATTTGAAGTAACAGTGAAAGGAGAGCTAAGATTCTGTTTTTAGAGATTAGACTTAGTAGGGTTAACTACTGTATTCCCCTTTGTCTACAGAGGATTTAGAATGAAGGAATTAGAAGTTTGTGTCCTCAGATCAAATTTTGCTTTTGAAGTATAACTGTAGGGGCAGCTAGGTGGCGTAGTGGAGAGAGCACCTGCCCTGGAGTCAGGAGGACCCGAATTCAAGTCCCACCTCAGACACTTGACACTTATATGTTGTGTGACCCTGGGCAAGTCACCCAACCCCATTGCCTAGCAAAAAAACAAAAACAAGAAATATAACTGTGCATTAAGCAAGTAAGAAGGTTTGGAGTCTGGAAGGCCTAGGTTTAAATCAAATCTCAAAAACTTACTAGCTATAAGGCAGCTAGGTGTAACAGTAGAGCTGGAGTCAGAAAGAAAGTTGAAATTCATCCTCAGATGCTTACTAGCTTTGTGACTCTGGTTCAATCATTTGACCCCCCCCCCACCTATCTCAGTTTCCTTTTCTGTAAAAAAGGGTGTAACTAAACAGCCTACCTCCCAGGGTTGATGAAAGGATAAAATGAGGTGATGTTTGTAAAGTGCCATATAAATTTAATCTCTTATGGTTAGTTATGTGACCCTGGGCAAGTCACTTAACCTCTCTGTGTTTCAGTTTCCTTCTCTGTAAAATGAAATGGGAGTTGAACTCTTTGGCCTTCCAGTTCTATATCTATGATCATAAGAAAGCTGAGAGATTGGAGAAGGGGGTTAAAGGCTTAGCTTCATATAAAGTAGAAAGTCTTTTTGCTACAGACACCTTTTATCACATAACAAATACAACAGTAGAATATAATTCAAAAAGCGTTTGCTAAATACCTACTGTGGGCAGTCTGAGGTACATGCTGGAAGATGTATAAAGTTTAGATAAAATATGATCTCTACCCACTAAGAACCGATAGTCTAGTAGGAGACAATCTAAATATCCACACAGAGAGCTAGCTACACGATACAATATTATCCAATAAGTGCGTAACACAAGAGTCATGGGAATAGCAGCAGCTCCTTCCCCCTCTGCTTCTAGTCTGACTCCCAGAGCCATCATCCAGGGGAGCAACACTTGTGGAGAATGGGCCCTCCACTGCTGTTACCACTCAGCACCAGCTACCAGACAATTGTCTCCGATGATGTAGGCAAGTCAGCTTGGCTACAGCAGCAAGTCCTCCTCCTACCCCTTATTGTTGTTGTTATTCGGTTGTGTCCGACTTTTTGTGACCCTGTTTGAGGTTTTCTTGGCAAAGATACTGGAGTGGTTTGCCATGAGGAAAATGAGGCAAACAGGGTTAAGTGACTTGTCCAGGGTCACACAGCTAGTGAGTATCTGAGGCTAGATTTGAACTCTAGACCCGCTATGCTATCCACTGTGTCACCTAGCTGCCCACAACATGTAGGTCTCACCTGCTATCCTTAGACCCATGCTATAGAATATGACCCTGAGGGCATCCTGTTTTCCCTATAACTCATATATTAGTCTGATAACATTGACCTAATTCATGGAGTTAGTATGAATAAAAGATTTATTTGTGATTGTAACTCAAACTAAAATGGGAAAAGGACCCACATGTACAATATTTATAGCAGTTTTTCTGTGGTGGCAAAGATTTGGAAATTGAGGGGATGCCCATCAATTGAGGAATGGCTGAACAAGTTGTGGTAATGGAATGTGTAATGGAATACTGTTGTGCTGTAAGAAATGATGAACAGGCAGACTTCAGAAAAACCTGGAAAGACTTGTGTGGACTGATGCTGAGTGAAGTGAGCAGAACCAGGAGAGCGTTGTACACAGTAGTAGCCATGTTATGCAATGACTAATTTTGAGAGACTTATGTCTTCTCAGCAATGCAATGATCCAAGACAATTCCAAAAGACTCATGATGGAAAATGCCATCCACATCCAAAGAAAGAACTATGGAGTTTGAATGCAGATCGAAGCATACTATTTGTTCTTTTTTTTCTTCTGTTTTGTTTTCTCTTTCTTGTGGTTCCTTCTATTGGTTCTAATTCTTCCTTACAACATGACTAATAGAAAATATTTTTAATAGGAATGTATATGTATAGCCTATATCAGATTGTGAGCCATCTTGGGAAGGGAAGGGGGGAAGGAGGGGGAGAAAAATTTAAAACTCAAAAGCTTATGGAAGTGACTGTTGATAAATCAAAATAAATTAATAAAAAAATAACTAAAACTAAAGGTGATTTTGACTATCTGATTTTGTTAAAGATTTGCTAAAATCTTTACCTTGGTCAGTGAAGTAGAATCATAGATGGTAAGATCTGGAAGGGACCTTAGTGGTCATCCCCCTCATGTCACAGATGGGCAGAACCATCACTGGAAATTCTGTCACCAGGGGAAAATTCAGTTCGTGGGTATAGGGGGAGAACAATTTGCCTTGGTTGAATGAAGTCAAATGGACAGTCCCCAGTAACTGCTGGGAATAAGCAGACAGTATAGGTGTATGCCACAACATTGAGATAAGAGAGAGGTAGGAACCCTGTGGCCCTGTGTGGTTGGTGCCAGACAATAGAATGAAACACAAGGAAGTGTGCCCTTTTGGTGTTGGTGTTCTAGAACAAAGTCATAGTTGCCACACCCTCGTTATTCTAGTTATTCCTCTTTAGATGACGAAGCTGAGGCCTGGGGGTTTAAGGGCTTTGCTCAAAGTTGGAGAGCTACTTAGTGACAGAGTTGAAACTAGAACCTGGATCTCCTGCCTTGCCCAGTTCATTGTACTGTGCCATACTATATCTCCTTCTGTACTTTGTGGCATAGAGTAGAATGAATTGACAGGTCTTAAGATGCAATACAACTTAAAGCAATATAGAATGATGAGGTCATTTTGTGGATTTCCATTGGGTAGAGCCTGGAAAGAATAATCAGCTTTGTCCAGTTTATGGTGAAAACCCATGATTTTTATGAAGCATAGATAGTTGTTTTCACTAAATACACTGTTTATTCTTTTCTTATTTCTTAGGATGAAAAGAAAGTTTTATTCCTGGGAGGAATGCATGAATCTTCGGGAGGTTAAGGTATTTTTTAATACATGAACAAATCTTTTGTGTTAATGGCTAATTTTTAACAGTTTGTCTATATGACTTAGAGATGACCAGTAGTTTTAAGCATAATTTCAATTTTCCATTTATTAAATGTTATTAATACCTCATCCCTCAAGGGAAACTTTGACAATCCAGATTAGTTAATAAATGTAATGACTGTAAAGTATTTGATGAAATGTAATGACTGTAAAGTATTGTATTATCTACAATAATAAATGAATTCTCACTGAACACAGAGCCCCATCCCAATATAAAGGTTTTACTATATAATAAATAAAATATAATAATACAAATATAATAAACTATATAATAATAATAAACATCTGTTCATTGTATTGTTGGAATGCCTTCAGCCAGGCTTTAAACTAAGGTTCATTGTTAATATTTGTGAAAATTTGTTGGCAGGAAGTGAAGATTATTTTTCTTTTTTCCACTTAAACTCTTACTATCTTATTTCAGTTTTTCCTCTCTTCCTCTAATCCTTTACCTTTTTTCTTCTCTAAACTGATTTCCTAGAAAATATATCCATAATCAAGATAAGTATGTATGAAACTTTTTATAATACTGTTTCCTATTTTGGGGGCTTTTATGTTGGGGGGGAGCTTTTCTTAATTCAGCATTATAGTCAGATGTCTTTCCTGTTCCCTTTGTTTCCTTTATTTTCCTCTCTTCTAAGTGAATGCCCTGATTCAACCACTCATTTGTATCAGAATAGTTAGCAACCTATTTTCTTGCCCAAATAACTTTTCTTTAATGTAAGTTACTTGATTTATGTTGAAAATTATTCTTCTGTTCTCCAGTTTCTTAGCTTTCTTAGTTTACAGTATACCTCTGTCTTGATTAACTTAACATAACATTATATACATATCTCTGACCCTTCCTTAAAAGCCTGGCAGTGGGAGGAGGGGTAAATCAAACCCAGAAGATAAAGCCCTGTGTTATCAGAAACTGTCAGTACAAAGTTCACCAAGGTGAAATCAAGTATTCTCCAAGGACATTTTTTCACTGAAAGGAAATGTTGCTGGAACTCCTTCCTTTTTAAAATGGGCCTGTGCAAACTTTCTTAGCATGACAGAGTTAATTCTCAAATATTTGCTATTTCTCAACACACACATAATTCCTATTCTAACATTTCAGTCCTTTCCCCACCCCTGAATATGCACACTTGTACTGGTTGATTGGTGGCAGTGAGGAAGAAAAGAAAGAAAATCCTTTCTGTTATTTCTCTCCCTCAACCTCCATCTACAATTGAGAGCCTACAGTTGAGCTCTTACCCTACCCCGGTGCCCAGTGCTGGTCAGAAGCAGCAAGGGGAAAGAGGAAATATGAGATGGGGAGCGGAGGGAGGGAAACAAATCTTGTTGTATCATTTCTCTTTCTCACCCTCTTTATCTTCCATCCCTGTCCTCACGGCACCACTACATACGGACATCTTCTAGACATCTCTAGCCCAAAACCAAGCTCAACATCTTTCACTGCAAACCTGTTCCTCCTTCTGACTTTACTCTGTGATGCCACCATACACCCAATGTACCAATACCCACTTTGTACCTTGGAACCCTTGTCCCTCAAAAACCCTCCAAGCTCCTCACAAACTCTAGGACCTTGAAAGTGGGAGGGTCTTCAATTACCCAGCTCATAGAGTAGGGGTCAGAGTGAGGATATCTCTGTCATTCATTTATTCAATGCTTACAGTGTACAGAGAACATCATGCTTACTGAAATACAAAATATAGATTAAACATAACCATTGCTTCCTATAACATATAGTCTAATAGAGGGATAAGACACAAACACTGATAATTAGAAATTTATAAGACAGATAGTTATAGAAGGGGTCGTTATTACTATCCAGGAGGATCAGAGAAGGCTTTGTGAGGCAGGTAGCTTTTGAGATGAGTTTTAAAGGGCAGTAGAAATTCAACAGGAAAAGGGGAGTGGGATAGACATTCCAGAAGCAGGAACAGCATAAACAATGACAGGAAAGTGTAGTAGAGGGTATTGGGAGGAAAAAGGAAGAAGTGGCTCATGTTGGATAGACAGTAACAATAATGGAAGTGAATAGAATGAGACAAGCCTTGAAATCTTTGTGTGGTGCTAAATTGTGGAGAGCCTTGAGTGAAAGGCAGAGGATTTTCGACTTTCTTTAGTTGGTCATAGTGGGCCAAAGGAGAACCACTGAACATTTTTGAACATAAGAATGATCCAGGTCTATGAGTAAAAGAAGAAAATTATTCTAATAGAAAGGTAAAGAATGAACTGGAGGGAAAAGGGAGTAGAGATGGAAAGATCTGTTGTAATACTTTTATGTGGGTAGTGATGAGGGTCTATAAGTAGGACTGAAGCAATAGGAAGAGTGATGGGTGTTCAAAGTGAGAGATGTCCCTGAGATTTTTTTTCATTTTATTTTCATTTTTAATTAATAAGCATTTAATTTTTTTCCATCCCATGTACCCCAACTTATAATAAAAAACCCATATAGCAAATATGCATAATCAAGCAAAACAAATTTCCATATTGACTGTCCAAAAATTATGTCTTATTCTGCACCCCTGAGGTGAGTCACCTCCTTGTCAGGAGGTGGATAGCAAGCTTCATCATCAGTCTTGTAGAATCATAATTGGTCATTGCATTGATCAAAGTTCTTAGAGCTTTCAAAGTTGTCTTTATAATGCTGTAATTGTATAAATTATCCTCCCAGTCTGCTTACTTCACTCTGTATCAGTTCATACAAGTTTTCCCAGGTTTCCCTGAAACTGTCCCGTTTATCATTTCTTACAGTACAATTCACTGGAAACAGTATTCCATTACATTCATATTCTACAATTTATTTAGCCACTCTATAGTTGATGGGCACTTTCTTAGTTCCCAGTTCATTGCTACTACAAGAAGAACTTCTATAAGTGTGTTCAAGGGTATGGGTACTTTACCTCTTTCTTTGATCTCCTTAAGGTATAAATCTAGTGTTGGTAATGCTGAGTCAAGGAGAATGCATAGTTTGGTGACTCTTGGGGCACAGTTTCAAATTGTTTTTCAGAATCACTGGACCAGTTCTACTAATAGCTCTACCAACAATGTACTAGGGAGCCTGTCTTCCTGCAGCTTCTCAACCATTTGTAAATTTTCTTTTTTGTCATCTTTGCCAGTCTGTTGGGTGTGAAGTGTAACCTCAGACGTGTTTTAATTTGCAGTTCTCTGATTGCTAATACGCTGAGATATTTTTTTTAAAATTTGTTTTATTGACATTTTTTTATTTACATAGTAGTCATTTTCCACACCTAACCCCAGGTTGAACCTTCCCTTTTGCCAAAGAAAAAACATTATTGCTGAGGTGTTTTTGACAGCACTTTGTCACTGATTGGTTATGAAAAGTGAGGGAGAGGAAAGAGTCAATGATAACAAGGGTAAGAAGATGGTATATTGGCTGTTTGGTGGCATCACAGACAGATAAAGTCAGAAGAAGGAGCAGTTTGGGTTTAAAGATAATGACCTTGGTTTTAGACTTGTTGAGCCTGAGATGCCCAGGAGACATCCAAGTGGAGATGACCCGTGGAAATGTGGGTTGGAACTCAGAAAAGAGGTCAGAGCTAGAGTTATGGATTCGAGATTCATTTGCTTACTGGTGGTTGTTGAAGCTGTGAGAGGGAATGAGATTGATAAGAGAATGTATATAGAATAGAGCCAGTGATCAGAGCCCTGGGGAGTAAGACTGTGGAGGAAGTAAAGGGAACAGAGATAAAGCAAGGAAGAGTGTGGTGAACCTGAAGCCCATTCATCAACAAGTATTTATTAAAGTACCTACTATGTGCCAAACACTTATTAGGAGCTGGAGACATGACAAAAATGAAACAGTTCCTGTATTTAAAGAGTTAACATTCTTTCAGAGGAGATATTACATAGACATATGTGTGTGTGTGTGCGGATAGATAGATAGATATAGATATGTAGGGAATAAGTACATAGCAGTTTAGGGAGGGAAGGCACTAGCAGTTGGGGCATCTAGAAAGGCTTCATGTAGAAATTAGTGCTTGAGCCTTTTCTCGAAGGAAATGAGGGCTTCTATGAGGCAGAGGTGAGGAGGAAGAGCATGGAGTACAACAGAGGCAAGGAGTCAGAAAACGAAGCATAAGGAGTTAGAAATAGCAAGAAGATCAGCTTGGCTGGACCTAGAGTGTAGGATGAGGATAGGGATAGGGACTAGACCTATAGTTTCGCTGATATGGGAACCTCCCAGATAAGGAAACTCCCTCCACTAATGCAGTTCAGCACCTTTTCTGCAACTTATATCAGTGAACAAGCATTTATTAAGCACTTCCTCTATGAACATTGTTTTATAATTTGTTTAGGACATTGAGAAGCTAAGTGAATCACCCAAGGTCACATAGCCAAGATATGTCAGAGATAGGACCTGAGCTCAGAAAAATGTATAAAGAGTATAAAGTAGGTTGGGGCCCGGTTGTAAAAGGCTTTGAAAAACTAAACAGAGGTGTGTACTTTTTAATCCTAGAGGCAATAAGTAAACATTTGAATTACACGAGCAGACCAATGCTTAAAGAAAAACTTTGGGGGCAGCTTGGTGGCGAAGTGGATAGAGCTCCAGCCTTGAAGTCAGGAGGATCTGAGTTCAAATTTGGCCTTAGACACTTGACACTTACTAGCTGTGTGACCCTGGGCAAGTCACTTAACCCCAAATGCCTCATCAAAAAGAAAGGAAGAAAGAAAGAAAGAAAATCACTTTGACCACCGAGTGAAGGGTGCAATAGAGTGGGAAAAGACTGGAGACATGGTGATTAATTAAAAGGCGTAGGAAGGAGCATATCCATAGGAAGACTATAAAAAAGTTTCAGAAACTTCAGTAAAGATGAACACTGACATTTGGTAGTTGTTGGTGGCCTTAGAGAGGGTTGTTTCATTAGAATAATAAGGGCGAAAAAAAAGAATGAAAAAAAAAGAATAATAAGAGCAGAATGTAGA